GAACTCAGGTCACCAGTCTTGGCTTGCACAGGAAGTGCCTCTACCCATTGAGCTATCTTCCTGGCCCCAGTGCCATTTTTACCTTGGGGTTCTGTGTGGTTTCTGTTGGTGTTGAGGGCTTTGAGCAAGCTTGTATGGGTTTCAGAGGGCAGAGACAAGCAAGTGGTAATCCTGAGTGATGTGGACTAGAGGGATTGATTGAAGGGGCCTTTGTCAGGCCTGGTGGAGCCCTGAGTCTCAGAAACAGCCTCATTGGCAGGTGCCAGTGGCCCAGCATCCCTCTGCTCAGCTGCTACCTCACCTGTCTACCTCTGAAACCAGTCTAGAGAATGTGCCCATAGAGCCCAGCACAGGGACTGGCCTGGCGCAGGTACCCTCAGGTGGACCAAGAGGTGTCAGAATTGTTCTGGACATTCCCTAACCAGCCAGCCAGTGCTTAAAAGTCAGCACTGGGCCAGAGCCCACCCAGTGGCCGTGTGCTAGCTTCTTTCTGTGTTACCTGCTATGAGGGACGTGAAGGGCAGAAATAGTGTACATACAGGCCCAGGAAACAGAGGGAGGTAGTGGAAGGACCTGGAGGGAGCAGCTTCCACCCAGTGCCCAGGCCTAGAGTTTGAGTCTGTCCTGGTCTCACCGGTGATGGATTTCAGACTGTTCTTACAGGCTGCCTTCAGGGAATTTTTGTTTTATTTAATTATTTTGAGGTATTCCCACACTACAGTCCTCTAGCTGGCCTTGAACTCACATCCTCATTTCCCTTGTCTCTCTTAAGTGCTGGAATTTCAGTCTTGAGCCTATAATCTCTCCTGTCCTGCTCAGTGTTTACTGAATAGCTATGAACAAGGCCCTGCATCTTGTGGGCTGACTCTGGTGGCAGAAGAGTCAGGCAGTGAGCTTGCAGCTGGGGTTCAAGGTGTAGAAACGGTCACTGACTAGCCTGGGCTGGGCACCTCCTTAGGGAGACTCGTTAGTTGGGTGTGACCTTGAACAATTTTGGGTCATCTGGTCATCTTTCTATAAAATGAAATCCATGTGCCATGTCCTGGGCAGGACATTTGTTTAACATGCATGGGCCAAACTCCATCCTAGCACTACAAGACTAATCCTATGACAGTTGTGGGGGCCAGTGGGCTAGGGTTTCAAACCAGGGTAGGTGAGGACAAACAGGGAGGCCTTGTGCTCTGTTTGCAGGCTGTCAGTAGGTAGTGGGTTCAGGCATGTATAACATCTGGGAGAGGACAGGATGGACAGAGGAACTCTGGGTCAGCTGGGCAGCAAGTCAGGTGGGCAGGGGATTCCATTATGACTGAACTGGTCTCTTTTCTACAGTCTGGAACTACAGCCAGGGCTTTGTGAACGAGGAGATGATCAGGGACCACCTTCCACCCCCTGGGGAGGAGCCGCTGATACTGATGTGTGGACCTCCACCCATGATCCAGTTTGCCTGTTTGCCAAACCTGGAGCGTGTGGGCCACCCCAAGGAGCGATGCTTCACCTTCTGATGGCTGGATGCTGGCCACTCCCATGCCTGCTGCTCATGTATTCACCACAGCCACCTGTCTACCCTTCTCACCACTGTCCCTCATTCTGACATAAGCTCACATCCATACTGGGGCCTGGGTTCAGCTTGGCCTGCCCAGCCCTGGTCATCCAGCTGTACTGGCCCCTGAGGGGCCTTTGGGATCAGGACTTTGTATCAGGTGACCCCTGCTAACCACTTTCTGCATAGGCTCCTGTTTGGCACTAACTAGCCATTGTCAGAGATGTCCCATGACCACCCCCTTACACACACACACACACACACACACACACACACACACACACACACACAGAACTGTCAGTACCATGTCTACCCGTTGCCATGGACCAGTCTATAGGGGAAAAAAAAAAAAAAAAAAAAAAGGGAAGGGTAACAGCCACAGTCCCAGGATCCATGCCTACCCTCCACCCACCTGCCTTATGCCATGGCTGCCCTATGCCCTTAACACTACATTATATAGCCACACCCAGAGGTTCTTTTAGGTAGTGACAAGCTACCCCGACTGGTGGCCAAGAGTTCCTGGCGCAATGCACAGACCCTTCCAAAACCTCATGCCCCCTACAACCTTGGGTGCCCTGAGTCGTCAGTGCAACAGAGTGTGGTAGACCTTGGGATTCCCAGCTTTGTCTAGAGCCACCACTATGGCTTGTTTTCTATCCCGAACCTTGCTCTGCCTGGTCCCCAGCCTGGGGGAAGGCTTCTGACAGTGCCTCTTGTCGGAGATGGACCCGGTGTCCAGCACTGCCTCCAGCAGGTGATGATGTACCCTGCACACTGGCTTTTTTAGTCATTTATGGGCAGAAAAGAGTTGAAGTAAAACTTTGCTAATACTGACCTTTCTGGAGTCTCCATGGGGATGGCCAGGGAGGGGCAGGAGGGCCATGTGGGACAGACATTTTATTCCAGATATGCATTTGTATTGCCTGTTCAGAGTTTGGGAAGAGGGGAAAGTAGACAGGAAGCCCACCCTTGTCCTGTCACCTTACTATGACTGCCACTCCCAGGTCAGGACAGTTCTATGAAAGACAGGAAGGGGAGGGTCTCCTCTGCTCTTTCTTGGTTCACTGTCCCATGTTGAGGTTTCCCTGTGATGCCTCTGCCATTGCCTTCCCTTTCCCGATCCCCAACTCTGTATTCTTATGGGAAAGATGGTCACATGAAGACAGATGAGGTGGGAGTATGGGCTGTTCTTCAACTGGGTATCAGGAAGGCCACCTCTGGTGACACAGCTGGGATATGAAGACCTGGTCCTGCTGGGGCAGACATTCGGGCTTACTGAAAGACTGTCAGAAGATGGGGGGGGGGGCAGCTGGAGAAATGGCTCAAAGGTTAAGAGCACTGACTGTTCTTGCACAGGTCCTGAGTTCAATTCCCAGCAACCACATGGTGGCTCACAACACCCTCTTCTGGCATGCAGAAATAACACTATATACATAATAAATAAATCTTAAAAAAAAAAAAAAAAAAAGCAGAGAGGGAAAGACACCTGGCATTGATCTCTGGCCTCTGCATGTGCACAGTTGGTGAATGCATGCACACTAATACGTACGTACATACATACATACATACATACATACATACATACATACAAGAACGCAGGTGGCTGGAAGGGATAGGAAACGGTAAAGGTGGGGATGGTGCTATACTCAAGGGAGTGACCAGTAGGTGAAAAACCACATAAACACAAACACCCCCACCTGCTTTAAGTTAGTAAGTCCAGAGTGGAGCCAGGAAGGGGGGGGTCACAGGAATGTCCGTGGAAGCCTCAGCAGTGGGGAGCCTCTCGTGTATCCCATTACGTCCCTGAAAGGCTGCGCACAGGACTCTTGTGTGCTCCACTTAGAATCTCAGGTCCCACAGGCCTTCATCAGTGTGAGCGCAGGTTAGGTCTGTGCTGCCTGAGGGTGTGAAATCCTGTAAGGGCTGGGGTTTGAAAGGGATCTGGTCTTCAAAAACAAACCAGGGTTAGGAGATGTGCTAGACCTGGCCTTTCTGCCTCAGTTTTCCAGCCCACCATATGGGCTAGAGATTCCCCACTCTTCTAAGACCTGAGGATCATTTAGAAAGTTACAGTGGCCCCTTACTTCCAAAAGTTGATCTTGAGGTGTGGAGAAATCACTCCCTAACAATGGAATTGGGGGGAAATCAACCTGCTCCAAGGATATCAGGAACTAGTGAAAAGAAAAGGAATTCACAAGAGGGTGACTCTTGCTTATGTAGTATGCTGCTGTAGAGTTTCCTACAGAAGAGATGCTGTCATAGTAGACTTGTCCAGAGCAGGACGTGGGCACCCCCCTCCCCCAGTGCAGCTGGACTCCTGGTTTCACAGTCAGAGGTGTGGTTCCCCTGGTTACCAAGCAGAGTGAATACCTTTGGTCACAACAAGGCAATTTCATCGCTGGAAGATGCATTTGTTTGCCCCAGGGAGAAAGGCCTGTCTGAACACAGAGTTCTAGCCTCATGGGATAGTACAGTGGGGTTGCTCCCACAAGAAAGTCTCATTCCCAGTCCCAACACTAGAATTAAATGATTTTCTTATAGTCCCATGTACTGGAGGAAAACAGTGGTATTAGGAATGCCTTATTGTGATAAGACCCCTCTGGCCTGTTCTGTTCTCCATGGCTCAACTGGCCCCAACACACTGAGGCTAAACTTGCAGTTACCCCATTGCCCATTCTGGGATCTTGCTCCTCTTGCACAACTAGAATCAGGTGTGTGTATGAGAGGGGGGGGGAGGGAGGGATGGAGGAGACAGGCAGAGAAAGAGACAAACTTTTAAGGCTTCCCTAGCTTCTGCCTAGCTCTTCATTTAATACCCATGCTGTCAATTTTTATTATTTTAATGGCTGACTCATAGGGGACATGTAGTCTAGCCACTGGTGGCAAGGAAGATGGGGTTTGGTAGGTTAAGAAGCCAAAAGTGGACTTGGCCCCTTTAACCTACAGCAGGTAGCCTACAACTTCACAGCCCATTTCCAGGGGAAACAAGGCAGCTCCCCATGGAACTCGATAGAATAGGTAGAAACGGATTGTGATGTTCGTGTGGCCCTTATTCCCTACAGTAAGACTCACATAAGGCAATCCGATTCAGCGTTCATGCCAACAACTTTCTGACTTTATTGGCAAACGGGGTTCGGGCAGACTACCACACCCAGGCATCCCGCAAAGTAGGCGGGTCGCCTTAGGGGGCAACCTTTACCCGCTCAAAAATTCGTCTCACATTAGCAGTGAGGACTCGGGCGTCACCCCGAATCGTTATTTTCCTTACTCATAAGTTTAAGGCATGAAAAACTGTTGTTCGGACTTCAGGGGTAAGGAATTCGGTTCGCATTTCAAGTGTGGTGAGTTTTAGGTCGGCCATCGAACTGATAGAATTATTTATATGAAAGTTTTCTAGTGGTTTCCAATTTACATCATTTTAATTCTTCATCTGTAAAAGGAGGAGCGGGGAATCCACCGCGCTTCGGCTTTCTGTATGCAGATTAGAAGTGGACACCGCAAAGGCTCACGGGGAGCGGGCTCTACCCCTTCCGTTCCGAACTTCGTTTTGAGTTGTCGCGAGAGTTGGTTGTCGCGGGTGTCGGAAGCTGCTCGTCGCTCCGTAAGTGGCCAAGGGGCGGGTTCGCTGCTGTCGGCCTCTCCGCTAGCTTGGCGGCGCAAGATGGCCGACATCTCGCTGGACGAGCTCATCCGGAAGCGCGGAACGGCGACCAAGGGACGGTGAGCGGCCTTTTCATCTTTTCGGGGCTCGGGTGCGGAGGAGGGAGCAGCCCTGGGCGCGACGCGAGAAGCCGCTTGCGCCCGCCCCCTGCGTCCGCCGCGCTCCTTATTGGCCAGGCCGCGCGGGCCCGTCCGCTCGCCAACCCACTGGTTACCGGGCCCGAAAGGCCCAGCCACAGGCCGGCCGAGGGCTGGGCAGGGCCGGGCCTTCCTACCTGGCGACTGGGTCCGAGGGCAACGCGGCGCAGTCTCTGCTCGGGCTTTGTGGCCCTCGGAATTAAGAGGATGGAAGTTGAGCGGACGAGAGCCTAACCCAGAGCTGTAATACCCAATTCTGCAGGTTCTCTCAAGCCGCTGTAGTTAACCCTGACCCGCTGAGAGGCATTTTAGAGCTTTCACATGCCAAGTGCCTTGTTCCTTTCATTGTAGTGTCTGTAATCTGTTTTTTTTTTTTTTTTTCCCTTTCTTTTGGTTCGTCTGTTTTCTTGAGACGGGGGTCTCACGTAGCGGGAACAGGACTCGAATTCACTGTGTCTCGGAGACTGACACTAAATGCCTGGATCCTCTCTGTTTTCATTTTCTGTGTGCTGGGATGACAGGCGAGTTTGTTTCTGTTTTGAGAAGCTGGCGTCCTCCATGTTGCCCAGGCTGGTTTCGAACTCCTGAACTCATTCCGTCCTCCTGCCTCAGTCTCCCGTGTAATTGGGTTTTCAGGCATTCCTGTGCTGTTTACCTTTATACTGTTTTCACAAATGGGAGCTGGAGCCTGAGAGAAGGTAGAATGACTTTCCCCAAGGCCACAGAGGGCTCAGAGTATTACCTGCTGGTTGAGTTGGCCACAGCAAGGGAAGAAAAAGAAAGGGTGCGTTGGTGTTCACTGATGGATGTCCTGGAGTTTTAAGTGAGAAACACTTAAGACTAAATAGACTCTTAAACATTGGTAGCCATCTTTAGCTTTTATGACTGGGAATATTGAAGATGAGGCCACCAACATTAGATGAGCAGAAGCAACTTTTATCCTATCACTGCAGGGGTTAAGACCACAGGCAGGTTGGGAAATGACTCTGTGACCTGAGACCCCTAAGAAAAGGCCTTAAGTTTCTTTTTTATAGCAGAAAAAACACACACAGGGTGGGGAGTCAAAGGATTAATCTTCAGATTAGATCTTGAGCGTAGGCAAAAGAGGGGAGTGCATTCCAGAATTTACAACTTGTGATAACATAGTGTTTGTACAAGCTTAATGGGGCTGTGGTTTTTTATCATAGCTCTTGACACAGCTGGGGTCCCATCTTAATTTTAACTTGTTCTCCCTGCCACTCAGAATATAGGGCAAGAGTCAAGCAATAGAAGAAGCTGGGTAGGTGGACTAATGACTGACTTTGTGCCCTTTAATGACTTAAATTTGCCAGTGAAGAAGTGGTAACTTGGCTAGTGGTCCAGCACATTTACAAACTTTGGAGTTTGAAAATGCCCCCATAGAGATGTTAGGTTCTGTTTTCCTAGACATTGATCTGCTCAGCGAATGCTCACCCCTTCCCATGCCTGTGTCTAGTAAACACTTCGTCTCCCTTGCGGAAATGTACTCCAATGTCAGCATTACTGCTTCCAACACCACCCAGCTCATCAGTTCCAATTGTCAGTTCTGGGTCATGACCCATGAGAGATAGTTATGGACAGCCACGATGACTAAGTCCTTTTATTAATGGTCAGACCAAGAGCTGCCTCGAAAGTCTCTTGACCAAGCTCAGAGGTATATCACTTTTATTTTTTTTTATTTTTTGTTTTTTTGAGACAGGGCTTCTCTGTGGCTTTGGAGCCTATTCTGGAACTAGCTCTGTAGACCAGGCTGGTCTTGAACTCACAGAGCTCTGCCTGCCTCTGCCTCCTGAGTGCTGGGATTAAAGGTGTGAGCCACCAACACCCAGTGGTATGTCACTTTTTAAGACAAAACCACAATTACATCAGTGCTGGGGCAAGGGCCACATTAGTAAAGGATTTGGGGTGTCAAGAAAACACCTGTTATCTTGCAAAGCTCAGCATTTCAGATACTACATAACAATTATTTTTTTAAATTTACATTTCCTCATAATTATTTAGTTTTATGTTTAAGTTTGCACAGGCATCAGTTATGTTGGTTAATATAGCTGGACCATGGTCAGGGTCATGGACAGTCCCAAAAGCCATTCTGAGGTGGACTTGGCTATTGAAAGTGGAAGGCTAGCTGTGCAGTAGTGGTGTACGCCTTTAACCCACTCCAGAGGCAGAGGCAGGCAGAGGCCAGCCTGTTCTACAGAGTGAGTTCTAGGACAACCAGGTTCTAGGGTCCATCCTTGGCTTGGGTTCAGATCCTGAAGTGGGGAAGTGGTGTCATGCAAGGAAAACTTATGACTACCAAGTAGATTGCACTCAAATGTCCCTGAATAGCTCAGGCTATCTTTATGTATATTTAAACAGGGTACATGAACAGCTTTATTATTGGCTTTTATGTTTTACTTTAAGAAATACATCACAATTTAAGGAACACATCATGATCATTATGAAAGCCCCCATTGTTCCCCTTTATGCTTTCCCAATACACCTTCCCATCCCCTGCATAACCTTATTCTAGACATAGAGTTCATCATTTTTGCAGGCTTACTAACTATCAAGCCAGATACATCCTGCTCTTGCAGTACTTATGTCAGCTGGCTGCTACTTGCAGTTAGACAAAGTTAAAAGTAATAGACAACAATATTCTCCCAGAGTCTAGTTGAAGAGAGGGAGGAGTGATAATATGAGCAAAGTAGGCAAGACCATTTTGGGGATACCCACAGAAACAGCTGACCCAAGCTAGTGAGCTCATTGACACTGGACTGACAGCAGGGGAACCTGTATAGGATCAAACTAGACCCTCTGAATGTGGGTGACAGTTGTGTGGCTTGGGCATTTTGTAGGGCCAGTGGCAGTGGGACCAGAATTTATCCCTAGTGCTTGAACTGGCTTTTTGGAGCCCATTCTCTTTGGAGGGATATCTTGTTTAGCTTAGATATAGGAGGGAGGGCATTTGTTGACTCCCCATGGGAAGCCTCACCCTCTCTGAAGAGTGAAAGGGGAGGGGGAGGGGGGCAGAGCAGGAGGAGAGGAGGGAGTGGGAACTGGGATGGGTTCCCATCTCACTATACCATACTTCTTTCACCAATATAAGCTCCTGTGCATGGTAAAGATGGATCTCTCCATCCCATATTTTACATTGCATTTTCCCATCAGAACATACTAGACCTTATCATTGATTCTATATGTTTGGAATTTATTCTCAATATGTGTATTCCCGAAGTCCCGAGCTTCCAGACAAGGTTAATGTTTCAACTGTTGTCTTCTCATAGGTATCTAACTAGTTTTCATATGTACCTAACTATCTCTATGGAGTCAGAAAAGCTCCCTGGATTAGGAGTTAGTAATTACAGATAAAAGATTTGAGAAACATTAGTGCCTTTTGAATCTTAGGGAAGAATTTTTGAAAAGGTACAGAATTTCCGGGGAAAATTACAACTATTGCATGTGTGACTGACAAAAGTAAAAAACACCCAAAGACTCACCAATATAATGAGAGAGAAAAGAGCCTGCAAGTGACACAAATTTTGCAAATTCCTATGTGGACTACTGGTCCTTGCCAAGAGAGAGTCATTTTCATAGGTGCCATGCCCTGAGGAAACCCATTGGACAGGTAGTTATATGGTTATCCAACACCAAGCTTCACAGCTCCCAACAGCCGAGGCTACACAGAGAAACCCTGTCTTGAAAAGAACAAAACAAAAAGACCTCAAGGCTGGCTCAGGTTAAGAGCACTGGCTGCTCTTCCAGTAGCCCTGGGTTTAATTTCCAGCGCTCACGTGGCAGTACCTAGTACTTTGTAGCTCTAGTACCCAGCGATCTGACACCCTCTTTTGGTACCCCCTCTACACAAGGTACGTAGACATAAGTATTCAGACAAACTTTTTTGTTTGTGTGTTTTGTTTTGTTTTGTTTTTCGAGACAGGGTTTCTCTGTGTAGCTTTGAAGCTTGTCCTGGAACTTGCTCTATTGACCAGGCTAGCCTTAAACTCACAGAGATCCACTGCTTCTGCCTCTTGAATGCTGGGATTAAAGGTGTGCACAGCCATGGCCCAGCTCAGACAAACATTTATGTAAAATAAATTAAATCTTCAAAAAACAACCCCTCCCCCAAAATGACCTCAAGGCCAGCAATATTGCTCAGCAGGTAAAAAAGCCTGACAGCTGTGTTCCATCCCAAGACCCATTTTGTAGAGGGAGAAAACAGACTCCTGAAAGCTGTCCTCTGATGTCTACATTTGTGCTGTGGTTAACATGTGGCCACACAAATACTCAAATCAATGTTTGGGGTGTTTTGTTTTGTTTTTTTTTTTGTTTGTTTGTTTTGTTTTGTTTTTTGTCAGCACCCATATACTTAACAAAACTCCCTTTCCTATATTTAAATCCACTTTATGTAACCCATGGCCACCTTCATGAGCCTCTTTTGTATCATCTGGAGCTGGCCTTGGCTCCTTCCATAGAACCAGGAAGGCAAGGCATTCCTATTCCCCCACACACCCTTAGAGTATGCCAGGTCCTAGTTGGAGACTAGGAGAGAGAAGGGTCCAGTGGACATCTGCCCTCTCCTTAGCCTGCAGTGCTCTTCCCAGGGTCTTGAGTACCTGGGGGTGCTTGGAGCCATTGCAGAGTTGCAATACTGATATTGTTGTCCAGGGCAGGGCAGCTAAGAGTCTTGCTCAAAGCCACCCTCCCTCATTTTTCCAAAGACAAATATGCAGAATGTGTTCAGGGAACTCAGTAGTTCCTACAATGGGACTGTAGGCTCAAAGATAGGGTGGGACTAGAGACCCCACACCCCCTTAGGGCAGGGCTTTGTTAGAGAGCTTTCAGCAGTTCTGGAACTGGTAACATAATTGACTCTGGTTTAGAGGCCTGCCCCTAGCAGTTGTGTTTATTTGAAGAATTCCTGA